TGAATTCACTACCACCTGGATCCCATACTTTGGACTTATTATCAAAAGGAGCCAGTAATGGACAAAGGATGTCATAGTTAGAGAAGTAGAGGTCAGTAGAGAGGGATGACTCTAAAAGAGGTGAATGGACACAGTAACTGGAACAATGGATTCAAGCGTAACAGAGATTGTAAGGATGGTACAATATTGCGTTTTGAGCTATTATTGTACAAAGGGTGGCTATGAGTCAGAGCCGACTCCATGGCATGTAAAGACCACATCATTAAGTAGCTCTAGCAGCATGATTTATTACATGTCTGACTGTTAATAAAAAAGATCAGTGGTTTGAATTCATCAGCTACTCTGATAGACAAGTGCCTGTAAAGATGTACAGCCCAAGAAACCCAACAGAGGAATGCTGTGGGTAGGTTAGAGCTCTGGTGGTCTAGTGGTAAGGAGCCATGCTTGCAACCCAAAGGCCCCATGGTTCGAATCCATCATCTGCTCCCATGCAAATTACAGTCGCTGAGACCTGGCTGGAGTTTTCTGCTGGAAGGTCAGCTGTGACGTGAGGGCACACAGCGGCGACAGCAGCAACGTTGAGTGAGGATTACTCAGGGGCACTGGTTTCCTTTGAATCACTTAAACAGGAGCCCTGGGAGCATTGTGCTCTGTGTGCTGGACCACCAGCATTTTAAATCCACCAGCCACTCCGGGGGAGTAAGATTCACAGTCTCCTTAGTGATGGCGCACACAGAGGTCCAACGGAAGGCTGTGAGTTGGAATTGACTCAGTCCTGCACAGGTCTCAGTACTCAGGACTCGTACAGTTCCTTGGTTTTGTGAGGGTATAATGGGTGTTAGACAGTGAACTGAAATGCTGGTGGTTCAAACTCCCAGCCATTAGGAAGCTCTTGTTAAGTTTATCGCCTTGAACACCTGAGGAAAAGTAAGATGAGTTAGGATTGCCTCCAGGGCTATGGTTTTATTTTTTTCTTTTTAAAAAATATTATTTATATTTAAAAGGAATTCTTGGTTAAGCTTCACCAGAAATGATCCAAACAAGTAAGAAAATTCATTAATGCTAGTGAAATGCTACCAAATTCTAGGATATATGGCCCACAAACAATAAAAACTCCTGGACAGCTTCATTGACGTGAAAGCCAACTAGTTCTCCCTTTCCTACAGATGTGATCGTATAACAAACAAGATATTCCTGTTCTTTCAGGAATGTATACAAATTAATACGCCAATTAAAAAGCTAATATATATTCTCTTCAAATGCTTCTTATAGATACAGTTTCAATAATTTTACTTTTGAGTGGTGTAGTGTTACTTTTTAAAATTTAAACTAGATTTTATAAAGTATCCAGTTCCCAGTAAGTGTAGTTATTATGAAGGTTGTGACACAGCCAACATTTTTTACTCTTTCCTTTCTATTCTTCTTCTTTCTTTTCTTTCTCCCTCTTCCCTTCTTCAGCTTCTCTCTCTCTCTCCCTCTCTCTCTCTCTTAAATTATGGGAATAGTGAGAGAAGTATTACAGAGGGTCAGAAGTAGGTGAAATTCCTTTCTACTAATGACAAATGTGTCTTGGAGAAAGTGCAACCAGAGTGCTTGTTAGAGGCAAAGATGGTGAAATTTCATCTCATATTATTTGTGCACGTTAGGAGAGCCTATTCCTTAAAAAGGACATGCTGCTGGGAAAGGTGGGGGCCAACAAAGGAAGGGAAGACTCTCAACCAGGTGGATTGACACAGTGACTGCAGCAATGGGCTCTAGTGTGTCAGAGATGCTGAGGACGGTAGACGATAGGACACGGTCCAAGTCTGTGGTTCACAGGGTTCCTGTGAGTGATGCTTGACTCGATGACACCTGACAACGACAACAGTGATAATCATAAACTAATCTGCACTGTGCTGGGAATTTACAGGTTATATGTTCATTTCTGTGTTTGGGCTAAAGAAGTTGATCTGATCTCCCTTCTGTTTCCTATTTGGTTTAGATTGATGAGGACGAACCCTTATTTTTGAGTTTAATTGAAGATCTCTTTCCAAATATTCTTCTGGATAAAGCAGGCTATCCTGAACTGGAAACAGCAATCAGCCGACAGGTAATGTATCTCACGGCACATCAACTGCTGCACCTGTCTCATTTGAAGTTAATGGAAATGAAATTTGCATGTGGTCCAATCCTGTGAGTTCTGAGAACAGCACATCCAAAAGACAGCTTCTGCTTTATGTGAGGCAAGGCGGCTTCACATGCTGATAGGGCTTCTCCTGCCACTGTGTGTTCTACTGCCACACAACCACGTGTCCCGTTTAGTGTTTTTGTTGGCATTAGGTGCCATTGCTGCTCACTTCAGCAGCACATATCCTAAAATTGGAATGATACAGAGAAGAATAGCGTGGCCCCCAGGCAAGGATGACAAGCAAACTTGTGAAGTGTTCCATATTTTTATAACTTTCATCTGCTCTTTTCTGTAAAATGCTTGTCTGTCAGATAATGTTCTAAGTCTGAGCAGTCAAATTAAGACAGACTAGGAAGAAGGATTGGCCACCCACTTCTGAAATAGCAGGCCTCTGAAAACCCTGTGTACCATAGAACACATTTGGACTAGCAGATAGGGCAACTGAGGCTGAGCCCTCAAGTACTGACAGAGGAGAGAGCAGGGTTTAGGGCTGCTGTACACAGGGTTGCTGTGAGTTGCAGGTGACTCAACAGCACATAACAACAACAACAACAACAACAAGTGCCATTGAGTTGAGTATGACTCATGGTGACTCTGTGAACAACAGATTTGAACCCTGTCCTATTCTTGTGCCACGCCCTTTCTTCTCACTGAGGGTCTTCCTCCCTTCTGCTGACCATCCACCTTTCCAAGAACAATGCCCCTTTTCTTTTTTTTCCTACAAATACGCATTCTTTATTAGTGTACATGTCATCCCGTCAGACTTAAGACTGCTAATACATGAACAAATAAAACACTATAGCTAATGTGAGCAAAACAAATAAGACTAAATAAAGAGCCCTGATCAGATGCAGTAGTTTACAACTTTGAAGTGAAAAACTAGAAAAGTTACATACAGGTCTAAGAGCTCTAGGACTGTACAGTATCAATTATTGGAAAAATAAATGAATGATTCACAGTTATAAGAAATTATTTTAATATTAGTATGTATTTTTTCCTTTCATAGATAAACATTTGTAACATACACTTGGATTCTACCTCATATAAGACAAAGTAGAAAACGGAACGTTACTGCATTTATCCCAAACACTGCACAGGCTATGCCAAAGGTAGCCTGGTCCAAAATACTCAGTTCTACAGGGATGCATCCTATCTCCATACCTTTTCAACCTGTAGTCAGAACAGATTATCCGGGAGGCTGGGCTCTATGAGGAGGACTGTGGGGTCAAGATTGGTGGAAGATCTATCAACAATCTGCATTATGCAGATGACACCACCCTGCTTGCTGAAACTGAGGAGGACCTGA